CAGTCGAAACCCTAACCATGATGTGATGTGTACCACCAATGCTACGAATTATATCTGCTGGAAATCGGGTCCAGCGTCCCCATATCGTGTTGTGTGACTATGTCCAACAGTCTGACACTGTCTATATATGTCTTTAATCTATACCTATCAAAGTCTAATCACGAAACTCTAAGCAGGATATGATTTATTCTCTATCAATCAAGCATAAGAGCAAAGCTCTATCAATGATGAGTGAACATCACGAAACCCTAACAATGATGAGTTAGACGTGATGAATATCAGGCGTGCAAGAGAAGGGTCGACCTCCTGCAACGTAAGCCCTAAACTGCCCACCACCAATACCGCGAGGCGATCACCACCCCAGTGTTGATTGGTATTGCGGGCCGGGCAACACCAATCATCACTGACTATCCCACTCCTATCCTCTGGCAGGCAACGAGAATCAACTCCATATTGAGGCAAAAAAGTATAACAAGGCGGAAGTCAGAAACCCAGCTTCCCGTGTCCACCGCCATTCCATCCGCGTCTGCCTGCGGCATCTCACCCATCATTCTGCTGCCCTGGAAGTCGCCCCCTCCGTCATCAACGTTTTTTTTGTTGTTGTTATTGATGTTGTTGTTGTTGTTGATGTTGTCGTCCCCATTATCATCCGCATCCATCTGCTGCATCACTCCCCTCATGCGGCAGCCGTGGCCGTCGCCTCCCCCATCATCATCGTTGTTGTTGTTGCTGTTGTTGTTGTTGTTGTTGTTGATGTTGTTGTTGTTGTTGTTGTTGTTGTTGTTGTTGTTGTTGTTGTCACCACCGTTATCATCCATGTCCATCTGCGGCATCACAACCTTCATGCGACTGTCGTGGACGTCGCCCCTGCCATCATCACCATTGTTGTTGTTGTTGATGTTCTCTCACCCATTACGCTGATGATGACGTCGGATGCACGGACACCACTCTCTGCCCTGCTGCTGCCATGATTGTCGCTGCCACCATCGTTGCCATCATTGTTGTTGTTGTTGTTGTTGTTGTGGTTGACGTCTCCATTATCTTCCACAACAACGTCTCCATTATCTTCCGCGTCCACCTGCAGTATCACTCCCATCGTGCTGTAGCTGTGGACGTCGTCCCCCTCATCGTTGTTATTGTTGACACGATCCCTATCCTTGATGTCGCTGTAGCTGATGTTGTTGCTGTTATTTGTGTTCTCGCCGCACTCATCTTCACCCGCCAGCAATCCATACCAATACTCCAATTGATTGTGTAGATCTCGCCCCAATGTGAAGAGGGTTTTGCAAGCAGCCAACCTGTCATCCGCCCGCCTCCAGTCGATGTAGACATCGAGCCGGGGATCCGGCCCCTCCTCCAGCTCCCACAAGATGTCTAACAACTCCGGAGTCCTATCTTCCAACCACTGGTTTATTGAGATCGCTCCCCCATTGATCCCCCCCCCTTTTTGCTGCCGCTGCAGAAGCAACCCCACTATCGTCTGCATCTGCTCGCATCCCTCCTCCAGTGTGGTAATCCATTCTTCTGCTTGATGTTGTACCTTCCCCACCAAATCCATCTCTCCCCCCATTAGCTGCGCCACTCACACAGTTCTACTGAACCCCTTGTAATCCCACGGCTGTGACGTGTCACTGGACGTCAATGTCACCAAGCAACAGGCGCCACGTGGCGGCAAGCCACTTCACACCTATTGGGCACGTGCGCAAGCCCAGCAGCCGGGGAGCTGTTCTCCCCAGGCGCTAGTCGAGCCGGGGTGACCGGGCCCTACCGGTCCGCCGGCGTTGAGGCGCTAGCGCTAGCGCAGCGTAAATGTCCCAATGGGTGAGAATCCTGCACTAAAATGCCACCACACAATGTCACGGCCTTCTAGGCCCGCAAATCAAGCTGCAATATACTGTTCTTAAACCACCAGTACCTTTCCCAGGTGGTTAACACGGAGGCCGCAGTCGGCCAGATGCGCCGCCAAAACTCGGAGCGCAGGGCCCGAAGCCGATAGTTGGGAAAGGTACTCAGTCTGGCGGTTTAAGATTCTTAACTGGATATCCCAATTCACATCAAAATAATTTTTTTGCTTGCAGCCGCTCTCCATTCACTTCGGCTCCTTCATGGTCCATGGGCGATGTCTGTCGCCGGTTGTATCCTCTTGAACGTGCACCATTGTGAAGTGGCTGCTGTGGTTGGAGACAATGCCTGGCCAGGGCTTCATGATTTGACTGCTGTGGTTCCAGTACTTATGGTTTGTTTGGGGGGGGGATTGCAGGTTGTGATACATCATCTCTCGGGGGCAGGGGGGTCAGCGAAGGAGGTGAGTTGGGTACAGGAGGGCGGGGACAGGGGGGTCAGCGAAGGAGGTGAGTTGGGTACAGGAGGGCAGGGACAGGGGGGTTAGTGGGGGCGCAGGTGTTTCTGGTGAGGGTGTGTTGGGAGGGTGGGGTTGAGATGGAGGTTCCAATTCGGGGGCGAAGGGGTCATAGGCGGGCAAGTGTTGGGTAAGGGGGGGTCGGTGTTGAGCAGGGTTTGGGGGGATGAGTTTGCGGGTACCTGTTCGTTCTCTGTGTGGTGGTGGGGTTGTGACCGGTTCTCCTTTGCGAGTTCGCCTGTGATTCATAACATGGATTGTCCAGTTGAGGATGCTCAGGGTATCGGATGGAGGTGTGATTCTAATCAGGGGCTCCCTTGGCGATGGCGTACTAAAGTTTTGCAATGGTCTCCATGGCCACAGGTGCTCTTCCTTCCACCATGGCGTCCAGTTTCAATGTTGTTGGTCATTTAGGTCCGCCAGTCTCTTCTCCCCATCTAGCAATGTTTGTTTAAAGAACTAACTACCCAGGAGTGTGGTGTTGAGTTTTGAATTCACAGGAATAACAGGGCACTGCAGGTCCGGGCCAAGGGCAGTTAGAAACTGCCAAAAAAGGAACATCTTGTGCACTTCTACCTGGTCGGAAGTTGGAAAGCGGCCAAATCAGGCAGCCGCTCGTTGTTGCTTTTTTTCCTTTTCCAGGCCTGTGTCAGGTGGCCACTCATTGTTTCTTATCTTTTCTTTACTTTTTCCTTTTTTTTTCTGTGTTTTTTTTCCACACCTGTGGCTGGGCCACGGTCGAGATGTCTAGGCCACGCCTGTGGCTGGGCCGCAGCCGAGATCTCTAGGCCACACCCGTGGCTGGGCAACGGCCGAGATGTCCAGGCCACAGCAAAAAGGGGTCTATGCAAGTCTCTTCGCCTGGACCTGCAGTGTGCAGTTATTTCCGTGAATTTGGAACTCTGCACCCATCAAAGGCGCAGTTGTCTCTTGTTTACATGTTCTCAAGCAGTCTTCGTTTTGACCTGGACCTGCGGTCCTCCTCGGTGTGTCTTTTAGCCTGACCCAAGCTCTTTGGATGTTCGATCTTAGAGTTTCTACAATGTTGTTTGGCTTATAGGTAGTCAAAGTTGTGTTCTTTCAGTTCGTGGGAGCGTCGAGCTGGTAGCTGCGTGTACCTGAAGAGGTTAAACCACCAGTACCTTTCTCAGCTATCGGTGCCGAGCTTAAAATTGACCTGCGCGCCAAAAAAAAATGAACCGGCATGGATTCGATTTTGGCTTGCACCGTTAACGTTTTCGCACCGGTAGTACCGAAGCTGCCCGCCCCCCCGTGTTAACCGGCGGGCATTTATTTTTCAAGCGGGGAAAGGTACTGGTGGTTTAAGTTGGGAACAAGAAGGGTCAGTGCGGCTCTGCCTGCATCAGGAAAAGGGAGACTGGAAAGAGAGGAGCAGCATATATATATTGTCAAACAGAGCTGCCCGGTAAATCCTAGGCATATATATATATATATATACATATGTATGACGATATATATATATACATATGTATATATATGTATAAATATGTATATATACAGGGTAACCGGCGTTCGGGACGGGCCGAACGCCTGAACCTGAACGCCCGAACCCGAACGCCCCAACCCGAACGCCCCAACCCAAACGCCCGAACGTA